AGATGTGCGCCTTCCCAGGGAAGAGCTTGTCCGATCTGTGGATCCAAACAGAGCTGGATACTCAGCAGGTACAAACTGTCATTGCTTCGCTGGCCTCAGCTGAAGGATAACAACTGAAAGGTGCTGAGAAGCTGGCTCAGAAGCACGCATGCATGCAAATACACACCCATCCACCTGCAGCTACTGACACTGCACTCATGAATCTCACCTCAGCGCTGCCAGTGAGCTTAAAAAAGTATCCTATCAGCTTCTCTTAAAAGGTTCCCTCATGTATGTGTGTATAGATACCAGACCTGGCACAACACACCAGCGCACTGCACTCCCAAGAAACATACCTGGACAGCCATCTAGTTTGCAGTAATGCAATTTACACATTTCTCCCAATTTCAGCTTTTAAGAACCTTCAAATGAAATGGAAAGTTTACACTGTAAAAATCTCACTTCAAATTAAGCAGTCACCAGAAATGCAAACATGCAAGCACTCCTACTCTGGAAAATCAGCTTAGCATATTTACATATTTAAGCAAATATAGGATGCATATTTTTGCAAAAAAAATAATGAGCCAGGTCTCCAGTTAGAAAAAAGTGACACAGTTCCGGTGAGTGATGCAGACTTACACTGCAGGGAAAACGGGAATAGAAAATTATGGCTGTAATACAGGGTCAAATCAGTTCTGAGTCATTGTTACTCTGAAAGCCATTATTTTGCATTAACCACTGCCTCTCCATTTCATTTTTTATGAAAGGTAAGTTCCCTGCAGAACAGATAAGTAATGGTGAACGCCAATAACCTGTTCTCTCCCTGTGCCCATTTTGGGCTAGGAGCACTGAGAAATTCCACAGAGGTAAGTCCTGTCCTACCAAGAGGCAAAGCTCAGGCCCCGTTGGCAGCCTGGAACGTCCCATTAACTCCTTTGGTTAAGTCAAGTATGTTTTAATATTATAACTATTTAGACAGTCCAGAAGATTAGGATTCAAACAAAATGTGAAGTAGTGCAAAACCAGACTTCCACACAGCAAGCATTTTCTGCCTTAAAGAGAAGGGAAAAAAAAAAAAAAAATATCCTTGACTATAGTGCTTAACTTCTCCCAGATACTACAAGAAGCCTCAGGACAATACTACTATTTCTCTTGAGAGGTAACAGAAAAGAGACAAGGAGCAGAACAGGGGGATGCTGGGGTTAGGTAAGAGCTAAAGCTTAAAAAACCCCACCTCAGCACTCAAAAATACCTCACAACACATGCTGTAGACCTCACATAACCTGTCTTACCTTCCCTGAATACCAGCATGGATTTTTTGTTTGTTTGTTTATTGAAGAAGAGCTAGCTACACACTCCTTTTGCATGTGGAGCTCCCCAAGCTTCCAAGTGCTGGTGGCCTGGGAACATCACTATCCACATGACACGTGCTCCCACCACCTCTACATAACTTCTCCATGCTCCTGGTGTTACCTTTCAAGCCAACAGAAAGGAACCTTGTCCACTTTTCAGTGCCTGGCTGATTAGTTTACTAAGGGGTCTAGAAGAACTTGGTTCAGGATAATCTGTGTTTTTAGCTTTAGCCAGAAAGTACACGTATCCCAAATGAAGAAGAAAAGAACCACAACAGAGGCTAGGAGTAAAGCAAGGGTGGTCCTGGCTAAGGTCACTTTACCTGGGATGAACAGAAGGTATATGGAGGGAAGAATGAAAGGAGGCAATATCAAGAAGCCCAAGGTCATATGGCTGTTAGGAATTGTTGAGGTCTGAAGACTGAGATAAAGGCTCAGTCATTCTTGACGATGAATAGGTACTGGAGGAATTTTACGTTGGCATCTTACAGTTAGCAACAAGGCATGCCCAGGCAAAGATCTTTAGACTTTTGGCACTGTCACAAGGGATTCTTCTGCACAAGAAGAGCTGCAGAACCATTTCCAGTACTGTTGATCCAGGAGCAAACAAACTCCTTGCAGTTCTCAGGCAGGACAGCACTTGGATGGACATTATACTGAATGAGAAACAACTGTCAAGGCAAAAAACTGACAGGCAAAAAAATGCCTTCCTAGGAAGGGACCATGCAAGTACTTCCAAGGAGTATTATATACTTTTTTCAACACCTGCAATTCTCTCTAGGTGGCACATTTCCGCACGTTTTTCTTACATTGCATTTAACTCATTTCAGATATCAAAGTCATTATAATAGAGCTGCATCTTACATTATAATACAGAAGAGATTAATAAGGGGGACACAACTATCCAAGCAGATTTAAGGGAGGAGAGGCAGAAGCAGGGATAATGGGGGAGGACTGGGGTGCAGCAACCAGAGGGTATGTTGTCATCTGTCTTAAGAGACCCTTTGTTAGAACAGATACTGACACAATATAAAGATAACATGGTAGTGTATTTCGTCCATGAACTTCAGTCCTGGAGGATATACAGATGCCGAAGAATTAACTGGAGACTGAGTGGTCTTGGCAGAGTTAATGACCAAGCTCCTTGCTAAGCATGTGCTGGGAGGCGTGGGTCTGGCAAGGTGAACCGCCATAGATGTAATAACTGAAGGATGATCCTTGAAGCAAGGGAGCTGAAGCAAAGGGATTTGGTTTTGTCAGAAAGTCAGCCTGACAAACTGGTAAGAGGACACAGAGAGACAGCAGCAGGGTGTAGGAGGTGCAGGCTTGCTCCTTCCCAATCAAAGGCTTCCATCTGCTTGAGTCAAGCAAGGTTTGCGCCTAGAAAGGCAAAGCCCAAGATTCAGGATCGAGGGGATCTGGGTTATAACAACAAAGGAGGCCTGGTTGTTCTTTGTCTCCTGACAATCAGTTTTGTTTTAGAAGTCTCAATTGTGTCGCTGCATACACTTTCTGATAACAAGAGGGAAACCTCCTGCGAGGCACTAGATAAGGTTGACCCTGCAGGAGAAGCTGCAATGTAAGACCCAGCTGCAGAAGCCTGTGGAGCCAGCTTGAACCTGGCAGGGTTGCAGGGTCTTTCATTGAGCAAACTACAAGGCAAAAATGCACTGCAGCAAGCAGCACACCACGTATAGCCTGCTTGATGATCTGTGACAAAACTAGACGAGCAACATGTCCCAAGCTTTGTGCCAGCATGGACTCCCATTAATATACAGTCCTGAACTCAGTTTTCAAAGTGATCAACTTCTTATAGACTCAAGCATTCTTCCCCCGAAATAGAGTTGATTGAAACGGTTTTCACCCTGAGAATAAGAAAAGCCCAAGAGCAGAAGGGGTGAAGAATTCTATCCTGCCACCATTACCATTACCTTAAATCCTGAAGCTTGCTCTCAGCATCTGTAACTGTCAGAAGTGAAGGCAACAAATTTAGGCAACGAATGCTGGAAGACACGCTGCAAGACCTACAGCTTAGATCTCACAGCATTCACGGTTTACAGTTTGCATGGTGCTTTGCGGTGCTGTTTTCATTTTTGCCACACTTAGGGGTTAAACTTCTGTTTATGATTAAGGACCCCAACCTCTCCCCGTCACACGCATACTTGCTGTGAGACCAACTGGGCATTAGTGTATCTGTACAACGTCTGCAGGTCAAACGGGCTCCTAATCCAGATAATCCACCCAGTGTGATTAGTTACAGTTTTGTAGAAATCCTTTAATTTTCATTCTCTTGCCAGTGCTGACGGTCAGGGTTTTGTTGATAAATTAGCAGCCAGGTAATGGATGCAGGTAGATTAGAATACTTTGTTTTACATGTGGCAGCATCAGACTGCCAAAAATGAATACACATTAAGAAACAGGGAAATATACCCTTATTAAAACGAGGCAGTTGTTCCTGACAACTTAGAGCTGCAGCACAGGGAGGTGGAAGCGTGATGTGGAAGATGACGACTTTGATCTGAAACACAGAGGCTTCCTCTCCAGTTTTCAGAGGTCTAACCCGCTCCTGCCTCACAGACGAGCCCCACACCCTCCCTTCACAGCCTTTGCAGGACAGCAGTTGAGTTCAGTACCCACCAGACAACACTGGGCAATGCAAAACTTACCCAAGCCACCCCACAACCTGACTGGACTGCTTGCCATGAAACCAAAAATCCCTGAAAAGCAGGCAATGTCTTAAAGGCTGCTTCCAAATGCCAGAGGTAGAAAGTGCTACATCTGCAATAGAAGTAAGACCTCACAACTGGCAGCAAAGGCAATGATCACCAGTCTGTTGGCCAAAACAAGGCAGGGGAAAAATCAAGTTGGAGAACAGAAAACAAAAGATTTCCTTTGCTACAGTTCTACAGTAATAAACCTGGAGCTATTTTAAAAACAAAACAAAGAAAACCCTAAAACCCAACCCACAGGACTCCAGTCAGCAGCTTACTGGGCTTTCACAGACTAAAAGGAAGGGACCAGAGGAAGCAATAACAAACAGACCAGGTTTGCTCCCTCTCTGGAGAGTGGGCTGCAGCCTTCCCGGTGGCTACAGCCATTCAGGCTGAGAAACTCACTGCTGACACTTTTCTGTTGTCCAGCCCCAACAGTTTCTTAAACAGAGGCACAAACAAAAATAAATCTCCTCCTCATCCAAAATCCTGACACCTGCCTGGGTGGCAGAGGGAGATGGCTGTCAGGAAGAGCCAGGGTGAGCATGAGGAGACTTCAGTTAAGCAGATTTACAGACTGAGCTACAGCAAGAAGTCGTGAGGAATGGTCAGGAAAACAAAACAAAACGAGAGGTTAATTCAGGCTACTGGGCTTCTGCAACTCTTTTCCTTGACATTTTTCTAAGAGCTTTGCAAATAATTAGCTGCTCTGAAAAGGAAGAACACTTCTGTGAAGTAAGAAGAAGATCGTTTATGTTTAAAGCTATGGGCAACATATTTTAAGGTCTAGTCAGCACAGCTTTATTATGCTCTTTGGGTTGGGGTAGTTATACTGCATTTCCGACAGGCTGAAAGGCATCTGCCACAACGGGGTATTTTGGGGCCAGAGTCCCTGTGCTTGGCAGGGTGAAGGAAAATGCTCCACACAAAAAGTGGGAGGGAAAGAAAAAGCAGAGTACAGAAAATATGAAGCAAGAAAGATACCAAGGAGAAAAAGAATGAAGGAAACACAAGGAGAACAGGAGAAGAGCACCTAATTCAAAGAAAGGGGGAATGAAATTGCCCTGTCTTACAGGGGAGGACAGGAGCTCAAATTTCACCCAGGATATCCTGCAAGTCGAATAGGCAAAAACTGGTGTTAGAAAAAGGCGATGGTGTTATAAAAATCAACAGTCAGTTTGTGAAAAAGGTTAAGAGCATTCAGGTCTTCCTCACATAAAAAACACTGTGCTGGTTTAAACGCATAGATGTATTTTGTTAGCTACTGGTTTAGTGATGGAATTGGATTGATGGAATCTCTTGGAGACTCCACAAACCTTATGGAGATAAACAGCTTATGCTGGTCTTAGTTTGAGTGCTGTGCTCAAAAAAAAAAAATTCTTAGAGAATGAGAGCAGAAAGGAAATGAGACAAGTAAACTTAAAAGAAACTATTTTATCCCACATATTCATAAGGAGGCAAAAGAAACCTTATTTAGGAGGACTCATAAAAGACTCTTACCATTTCAATGAAACAATATCTAGAGTTGCAGTAGTAAATAATAACACACTTGAGAAAAATTTTGGAGGAAAGAAAAGTTCTTTCTATCCTTTTGGAAATGTGGGCGGGCAGGATAAGGAGGACAGCAGATCCATTTCTAATTACTAAGAGTTGTGGGGGGGTGCCAATGCACACACCATCCTAGACACCTAATATCTCATATCAGTTTCCTCCTTTAAGGCATCGTCTTACATTGTTCCCTGGTCAATACTAAGCCATAGGACCAAGCAGACTGGACTTCAACCCACGGACTAAGTTTTGTATTTCCCATCCGAAATTTCAAAACCCAGTGTCCCCCACACATGCATTCAGTCCCCTCAAACTTTTTGAGTTTCCTCCCCCCAGTGCCACATTCTTTGCATGTGACTTCAGAAAGTAAGTAACACTTTTAGCCTCAAAGTCCTTTTAAAATTCACCTTCTGTTCAACTATTGACAGTTTTGAATTCGGTGACAAATAAGTTGGCTAGCAACTTGGTTATAGGAGAGAAAGAAAACCCCACAGACGTGGAACGTAAGAACAAAGCAGGAGAACAAAAGCCCCCCCTTCTCCCAATTTGTCTGCCCACATACCAAAGATCAAAAGAGCTCGGAGAAGCCTGTGCATAATCTACATACTTTGTGACCTTATTACAGTCAAATTCCCCGCAGGCACGGCCACTGTGTATATATGCTCACACTGTAAATACACAAGCGGGTCTGTGGATATTTGCCAAGTCATCTGCTCCGTGCATTGAGTTTGCTTACTTTTAACAACGCTGAGGCCAAAGAAGTGAGGCTCTTTAATCTTCACTAAATCACAAACTTGCTGAAAGAGCTCCTGTCCAGTGGCTTTGACCTGAAAGAAACAACCAATCCAACATTACAGATGGCTCACACACCTGCATGGAGCAATCCTCCTTTTTCACATCGGCCAATACATTTTTGGGTATCACAGCAAAAAAAACCCCAAACCACCACAAAACAAGCTTTGTCTTCATTATTATTATTGCTATTATCACGGAATAATAATCAACATGTAATTCTCCCTCCTTCACAGTGCAAAGTGGCTCAGCTCAGCAAGACACAAATTTAAAGTTTCCTATCTATTGGCATCTTTGTATAAGAATCTGGAGCACTGCTGGAGCCCTAGTTTTGTGCAGTACCTGCCAGGCTATTTATAGGTGCTTTTACAGAAGGTGTGTTTGCAATCACAGAAATGAAAATACTATACTCTTGCATAACTTTCTTTTTGAGAGGTTAACAGGAAAAAAAAAGACCAAAAAAGAGAAAACTTTAATTCAGGAGAACTAAAAACAAAAGCACACAAACAAACCCAAGACTGTACGGTTTGAGCAGAAATAGCTCATGGGTTAGAGATGAGGTTGCTCTGTACCCCACACAGAAGAGCTTGTTCTGTCCCCTGCCGACTTCTAGTCACACAGCAATTATCATCTTCATCTTCTGAAGCTGCCACCAACAGCTTATAAGCTCTTGCCCATTTCCATGCCGCGCCAAGACCTTCCAGCGCCTCCCGTAACGCCGTGCACGCGCTGAGGAAGCGCCGGGAAAGAGGAGCTGCTGGCACACGCTGCTGCGGGGGACCAGGGGCTGGGTCATATTCGCAAGCAGGGCACAGGGTGAGAGCGTGCCGCGGCACCGCGGCACGGCTACTGAACGCGCTTTTCTCGCAGCGCTGCGAAAGCACAGGCTCCCCCAGCGAGGGCGTGATTCTGGCTACCCGCATGTGCAGACCTGGATGTATACGACGATCGGAAAATTCCCCCGCTAAAGGTCCTCCCACCTATAGCCTCATTCCCCCCTGCCCCATCGCACCACCCCAGGAGCACAGACAACCATGGGCACAAACAACCCCCCCCAAGCCCCCAGCCCTCAGAGGCGTAGGGGAAGAAGTTTTGAGCAAGAAACCAGACCACCACCAACACAGACAAGCTCAGCTCAGCCCTGGGTGCTATCAGCTGCAGTTGCAAAATGGGCCAGAACCTCTGAATTTCGTTACGCCGCTGCTGGACGATGCAGATCCAGAAGGAGCAGCCTTCCTGAGGTGGGACAGAGCAGCGCTACCTTCACAGCAGCAAAGATGACAGGGCAGAAGACAACTACTGAACTCTCCTACAAACTAATCACCCCCATCCAACTAATCACCACCATAATTCTTCAAACCCTTTCAGTGCAGGTGTGCCATGCTCCCCAGAAGTCGGCTGCACTCCCCTCCCTGCCCCAGGATGTACCATGTCATTGAACATGGGACAATAGGAAACAGGAGGTCATTTAAGTACTCATTTTCTCCTACTTGACAAGGCATCACTAGCCAGCCACTCACTACCGCTTTATCGGGAGCTTTGAAACCTGCGTTACACCAATACATGCATGTGCATGTATGTGCTGTGGGAAGGGAGGAGGTAGTGCACAGTTCTGATAAGACCCAAAACCACATCTGGGTCTTATTATGGGTCTCTGTGTGAGACTGCACCTTTACAGTCCCGCATCGAAACCCAGTATTTGCACAGCTGCCAAGAACACGCAGTTGGAAGGGGAAGTTGGGCATGGATCTGCCTCCTTTCTCCAGGAAGCGAGGTCTGAGCATGTTCTCCTACCTGGGAAGGACTCACTAAGGAAGAGGTGACCTACCCTTAGCCAGAATGGTTATGTGCATACAAGAGTCACTGGCAGCACAGGACTCTATGTAATAAAGCTATATGATTAGATGAATTTTGTAAGTGGCATGCTTTCACACCTAAGGGAAGAAAAACCTGCTTTAAGATACCCACTTCTACAGAACTGAGCACTGGAACATTTTGTGACACTCAGCTCTAAAGCAGTAATTTAATAAGATTTCTTGCACAGCAGGTATGTGAGCTACCACCGCGTCCACTCTCCTTTTGGCACCTCCCTTCTGTATCAAGTTTTAGTCCCAGCCTTCAAGGCTATGCAATACTGATTACACTTAAAACCGCTGTTCCCTCCTCCTGCCTTCACCTCTGCTCAGAGCAACCAACACTTCCCTTTGCATTTTTCATCTGTGCACTTCTCTTTGGCCTTTCCTCCCATTGCGTATGGTTCCTGTGCCAAGCTCCATCCCAGACACGCCATGAATCATTCCTTCCACTGATACTCAGCTTTGTCCCATGTCAGACTCAGAGCCTCTTTACACATAAAATTTAGTCCAAAGTGAAGTTAAGTGCAAGTTTACAGAAGGTAACTGCTACTCCAAGGTCATTCTGTGTGCAAATATTCACACATATTATATTGGTTACCTACCTGTATTTTTCTTGGTCCATATGCTTTAAAACATCAGCTCCCTGGCTCACAGAACAACTGAAAAACTTCAGACCTATGCTTACAATTCACCAACACACAGGACCTCCCCAAACTTCCTCCCTTCCAAAAATTTATGCTCACACTCCCACCCTTCCTCCAGCAGCTAGGCAAGGAGCAACATCTGCTGTGGCTGCTTCTGAACTACCCAAACACAAGTAGGGTGGCTGCCTGCCCTGCTCCCCTTGTTGGCAGCCGGACCTTCGCTAGTGTAGGTCTTTCTCCTTTATTCAGTGGCTACCACCCTAGAAAATTTTCAGAAACCTAGTCATAAAAACTAGTTGATAGTGATGAACAGGTTCAAAACTATCAGGGGAACAGGTTCAAAACTATCAGGGAGAAAAACCGCAGTGCTGGCAGATAAACAAAACTGAACAAACTGGATACCACTCCAAGATCTGTGGTGCAACCAATTAAGCTCCCTGGTCTCATGCTCCACATCCCCACTGGGGCTGCCTGGAGCAAGGCAGACTGTTTTGCTCTGTGCTCTGATGTCCGTTCTCCCCAGCAGAAACCTCCCACTTCTCCTCGCCATCCTGGTGACGGCTGGTGAGCACCCACTCATTCTCCTCACTGTTCTGCTTCTCCTCATGTTCACAGTTGGTCCCAGGAAGACAGTTTTCCTCATCACCATCCCCTCATGTTTACAGTTGGTCCCAGGAAGACAGTTTTCCTCCTCACCATCCCCTCAAATTCATCTATAAATCCAGAAAGGTGGACACCAAAGTTAATTAAGAGACACCCCATTATGGCAGAAGAGACTTTAAAACGGCTCCCGCTCTTCTCTCTTCAACAACACTATCTGTGAAGGGCATAAGACAAATCCATTTTCCAGAGTGGGGTTCAATCCACATGCGACCACATAAAACACATATAGGTAAACTCTTATCTGGAAGGGTGGAATTTATATGGGAGGGGGAAGAAAGGAATTACCTGCATAAACACTGTGCTTATCACAGGAAGGATCTACAATTTATTCTGCTGTAAGGATAACCATTCCTACCTACCTCACTGAGCTGCAAGCTTGTTTAGTATTTGCATTCCACACTGAAGAGGTTAAAAGGCTTTGGAAATCTTAAGTAGTGGCATTATTAATCTAATAAATGCAGAGTATCATCTGTGGTTGTGCTAATTAAATTTGGGTTCTACCAACATCACTAGAAAATTGCCTTGATGTTCCTTTGAAAAAAAAAAAACAAAAACACAACGTCTCTCCAGCTGCAAAATCATCATTTTTGTTGTTGTTTTGAAGGGGTGTTGTGGTAAAGACAGAAGCCAAATGAAAAGCTGGTTTTGGTCACTTGCCCAAATGTAACAGGTCATGTTTCACTCTCTATGCAATTAGGACACAACTGTGCATTGAAGACTCATGTTCTGGCCCAGGCAGCTATTCCCTTTCACATGCAGGCATCTCCACATACATGTTTTCCCAGCTTCCCAAGCAAGGGGCAACAGAAGAGAGGAGAGAAAATGTCTTTGAAAGGGCTACTGAGGGGTGCCATGCCAGGGACCCTTCCACGGGACAAGGTGGCAATGCTCAAGGCACCCTGAATCTTTGGAGGGGCAGCAGGCAGAAACAGGAGTGGCAACAGCACCTTTCCTCCGTCCCTGCCAGCATTCAATGTGAAAGACCATTTCTTATGCTTATTAAATACCCCAGAGGTATTTAAAAGACGTGTAGATGTGGCACTTAGGGACATGGTTTAGTGGTGGACTTCGCAGCGTTAGGTTTATGGTTGGACTCGAGGACCTTAAGGGTCTTTTGCAACCTAAACAATCCTATGATTTTATGATGAACTGCAGGTACCCAGGATTTACCGTACAGTCCAAGCGCTGCCTACACTTAATACAATGGAGCATGACCCGGCGGTGGAGGAACAGCTGCGTGCCCAGCTCAGGCACGGGCGCAGCGAGGAGCGGTGACAGCACCCGCCCTGCTGGCACGCTGCTCTCCTGCACGCCCGTCCGGACCTTCCCCACGGCATGGCAGGCTCCGCTATCTCAGACCTTTAGCCTCCCTGAGAAAAGCTGTAAGAAGGTGAGATTTAGGGTCAGCCGCAACAGACCATTACCCAGGCCCACGCACCTGCCACCAAGAACTTAATTAAATCATGGGTTTGTGGCTTACACAAAAGCCAGCAGATTGCAAAAGCCTTCTGGGGCAGCGGATGGGCTGGGTTTGAACCGATAACCTTGAGGCAGAGCACCCCAGATTTTGCTGTTAAAGCCTTGCTCCGTCCAGCCTGTGTGGCTGTTTCAGTTAACGATGCCACGCTTAAGCACACCAGGTAGGAAAATTCCTACATGGATTTTGAAGATTAGCACGCATAGTTTCAAAAGCCACCGTTTCAATCAAGTGCTTAAAATAGCAGTTTACCTCAACTATCTTCTCCCCCTCCCCATCCCAGAGGGGGAAAAAAAAAACCCACCCAAAACAAAGCAAAACCTCCCCAGCCCATACACGAATGCACGCACACGCTCATGAGAGCGCACTTATCTTTGAGGCTAGCTTGGTGTCTGAACGCCAAGTGCCTCCGTCAGCTCAGCTTCTCACAAGTTCAAGGAGCAGCCGGCGTTGCACAAAGAGGCACCGCGCCGTGGCGGACACCGTGCCACGCTGGGCTGCCGGCTGACCTGGCTCTGCTGTCACTTGCGCACACACACTTAGGCATTTGAAGCAGTGATCAAAGAAATGAAGCGACTTACCTCTAGTTTTTGTGTGTACAAGTACTCAAAGGCGGGGAAAAACCCCCACCCTCAATGGCTGTTTACTTTGCCTAAGAGTCTTTGAAGGGATCTGCAGGCTATCAAAACCAGAGACAGCTACAACCCAGAGCAAATGGTCATGTGTTGGGCACGCTTGCCAAGTCATCAAGGCTTTTCAGGTTCCATTTTTTAAAAATTGCTGGATTATTGTCAGTGGCAAAAACACTCAGAATAAAAAAGAAATAACAACAGAAAAAGAGCAGAGGGGACTCTCTGTCCAAAAACACAACTGGGACTTTTAAGGAACTCTGCAAATGAGTTGAAGCTGCCCAATTAGAAAATACAGCACCAATTACCCTAAGCTGGCTAATAGCCTTTCCGTCAGCAGATCTGCACCAGGCTTTTGGGAGAACAATGGGAGCCAACAGAACCGAAATGCGGCCGAGGCCGCCGGCCACTCACCCCGACGTCAAGGCTGAGCTGCTCCCGGGTGGGCAGGAAGACACAGACGTTCCGGCTCTCCGGCTGCATCCTGCCGGCCAGCAGCGCCCTGCTCATGGTGGGCAGCTCCACAGGGGCCGGGGTCTCCTCTCAGGGCGGGCGTCAGGCTCCCTTCATCCCATGCACCTGCCGAGAAGGTGAGAGCATCAGGTGGGATGATTTCCTCCTTGCTGTTTAGGAAAAAAAACCAAACACCAAACCTCATCCCTTTTATGGTGCCACCGTCAATGTTTCCACCAGCACTGCAGCGCAGACCCGGCAGAGTCGACCTTTAAATAGCCTGTGAATCCCAGGAGGGTGCCATGAAAGCAATGGTGTCTCCTTAGAACAACAAACCAGACTTCAGGTTTCGAGACACATACAAGCAGTAAGGCAGATGACACCATGGACCGCTTCCCGAAAACGCCCAGGAGGGAGGGGAAAGCCCCCTGTCCTTCAACTGGTACCTCGCTCCTGTCCAAAGCGGAGGCTTCAATGAGCCGTCAGCAGGCACGTGTCAGCGCAGCGGACTTCTTCTGAGCCACTTTCCCCTTCTCCCCGCTCCTAGTCCCTGGGAAACTCCTGAACCCAAATCCTCCACACCTCAACTCAAAGGTGGAGGCAGAAACACATAAACTCGCGAGGCTGAGCTGCTGCTTTGTATTTTTTGCAAGACAAGCACTGCCAGCCTCCTCCCGAGGGCTCAGCCCAAGCTGCACGAGCATCGTAGAGCTGAAGTTACAATAATAACAGAAATAAGAGACAGAAATTCAATTTACGCCCAAAAGCACAGTAGCCACGATCATCTTCATGTTATAGCTAGGTTAGACACAGTTTGCTCAGCAGTTTGTGACATTTTATTTACAGCCCTCTGCTTTGACGCTCTCCAGGGCAAGGAAGTGTCCCATGGCACCTTACGAATCTGGAAGGAAAGGGAGAGGCTCTCCAAGGGTAGGTGAGGGATGAAAGCCAGCGGAGACCTGACCCGGCAGGATACCAGCTAGTTATGGGGTGCACACCATCCCTGCTCAAGATCTGACGCAAGCCAGCAAACCCTAGCTGCTGCAAAGTCACCCGGCACCACTCCCTTCGGCCAGCAACACCCGGACACCCACCACGGGCACAGCAGCAGGGGTGCTGCTGGCTGATGCCTGCCCGCAAAGCCCCCCGTGCCCCCAGGGGCAGGCACCTACCCCAGCAAGGGCAGCCGAACGCACCGGCTCTGGCAGCACTGCCCTCTCCCAGCACCCATGGCACCGGCCACCTGTGGGGGACAGGCTGTGAAGGGATGCACGGGCTTTTCCTTCACCCTCCAAAATGGGATTCAAGGACGAAGGATCATAAGCAGCAAGGAAGCAGGGCATGTTTACGCTAACACATGACATACATACATATATGTACACATGCACATGTGCCTCACGTGTAAGTTTTAAAAGCATTTGGTATTTAAAGTCACGTTTGTCCTCTGTCAGGGGAAAAATATGGTGGAATCAAACTCTTGCGTGGGAGATGGGAAAAGCAATCTGTCACGGGCAAACAAAGTACAGTACAAAGAACTTGAATTTACCCTTCTCCCTTCAATTCTGTGCTCAGACATTATAGTTTGTTGTTGGTTTTTTGAAATCAAATACAAGAAAAAGATCTGTAAGTGTCCTTCTGCAAGTACAAAAGCTGTTCCACGCACCTCCTCCCCTGAGCCAGCATATGCAGTGTTTCTTAATAAAGCATTTTTTGATACAAGTTCCTGATGTAGAGCATCTCTTACGAGACGAAAGTACAAAAAATTGCATTTATTGTATTAATGAAAAGAGGGGGTTATTAAGGGCTATTATTATTACTTTTTTCCCCAAGATCAGAGTTTAATTAAACAAGAACTAGGAATTTTAAAAAGAAGATTGCTCTAAAATATAAGCAAGCAGAAAAGATACATTTGACTTCCTGGGACAGGTGAAAGCTTCTATTAAATTAAATATTAAGAGAAAAGCTCTGATTTATCCTTTCTTATCAATGTAATTATACTGATGAGCTCTCTTAGGCTCCAGGCTATACACTACTAACAGCTATATATAAATTACAGATGTCTACAGAATGACTCGAGGGCAACAGGTCAGCATTATTACTGCCAGCTGATGTCATATGCGCAATAAACTTCATCAACAGCATAAAGACCTTGGAGTGTGAGCTCAGGCTTTCCAACATAAGGAGGTTTGCCTTAATTGTCGAACGGCTGCCCTGGCTGGTATACCTTCCCACTTGCAAGGGGAGATCACATTCAGTGAAGTCGTTCACGTGGTTCATAACAGAATCGAATATTAGACAAAGAAGCAACCGTGAAAAACACGTGCACGCAGTTTTTTGTGGATAACTGAAGAAACAGAATCCCACTTCCCCATAGCCTCTATAAAGCAAAGCTTCTGGAAAACTTTTCTTCTGGTCTCACACCTGCTTTGTCCATTTGAATTTTTAAGATAACAACTGTGGACCCCAGGAGCAAGGAAGTGAGAAAGGACAGGGAGAAAGTGTTTTCCTTCTCACATTTTAAAACAAACGAGCTTGTGGACCCTGCCACAGCAGGTAAGAGGTTAAAGAAGCAATGTCCTTAATCTGAAGGGGGAGGTCAAACACAAGCCAAGCTCAGCCTTCTCATCTTTAGAGGTATGTTAGGATGTGATAAAACATAATGAATCATTAACTTGCCAGCATTGCATGTTTACACTTTTTTTTTTTTAAAAAAAAAGAAAACTTGTGAGCCAAGATTAACTGCCCAATGAAAACAAGTGGCCAGAAGGAATGCTCTTACTTAAACATACACAATTTCAGACTGCCCATATGCCATTCTTTTGTTTACCACAGATTCCAACCTCTTAACCTCAATTAAACCCTAAAAGCTCCAGCAAATGCACTGCACATGAATTAATAAAAGCTGAAGTCAATCATTGGCCTCTGGGACACCCTACAGATTGTTTGGTTTTGTTGTTTTTGTTGTTAGGTGGTTTTGGTTTTGGTTTTTTTTAAATAATATCACTTCATGTTTCAGCTCCCAGAGAAGCACATTTTGAGATGTAATTGCTTGGTCAAAGGTCCCGCAGTCTATCAATGAAAGAGTCAAACGCGCTATTTATTTGTATTCTTCTGGTATCAGTCAGGAGGCTTATTAGTGCCCAGAGTGATGGCACAGCTTATTTAGCACTGTTTATTTTACCTAAACACACGTGCAGCGAAGCTTTGGAAAACATGCCTGTCATTAATTTTGAGACTCCTCTGATTAAACAGCTCAAAGACTGACATAAAAACTCATTAAGAAAAACCCTAATCTTTGCCTCCTCCCTCTGTGGCCCCATGAGCTGCCTCCCAGTACTGGAGCAGAACCTCAGCACTTGCTAGGTCAAAGCAGGAATTGCTGAGGTTTGCCCCGGCAAGAGGGCAAGAGCGGCAGAGGCCTCTGAGGGAGGAGGAAGAGGAGACTGTTCACTTCGGTTATCATCAGGATGACTAGCTAAACCACCTCACGCAGCCTCCATATGCAACAGCACGAGGGTGACCTGCCACCTCTGAATTTGGGGCCATGCCACGGGCCAGCCTGTCTGGAAGCAGGTCTCATCCAAACAGCACGTGGGTTCAGGTAGCCTTATGAGTGCCGCTGTATTTTACACATCAGTTCGTGGGACCATGGTGAACTGGGTCCTAATCCTGATTTCAGTCTCCAGGTACTGCCAGAACCACATCTCAAGGGGATAAAGCAAATAGATGAATGAGCAATCACCTACCAACTCCAAGCAGCAAAACAGAACAAAGTCCTCCTCTATCGAGAAAAATGCACAGGTAATTCTGTGCTTCTCTCAAAAACACCTGGAAGCATGCTTTGTAAGGTTTATTACAGTAAAAACATCTTAGGAGAGCTGGTTTTGCCAGAGCTGACAGAAAATGAGCATTGAGCATTTTCCTGATGAAACCTTACCAGAATGGCCCTACAGAGTCCCATCAAAAACCATGCAGAAATGTTAAGACCCTTAACGTTTTCCAGACATTATCCAGAGATGTCTTAGGCTTCTAAGACAACTAGACTCTTAGACTGCAGTTTCACAATCAGCTTAAGCAGCTTTAATCAAGGCAGTCCTGCAGCAAGACACACAACTGCCTGGAAACAAATCTGCCTTCGGCAGCAACCCACACTTGGGCTCATACTCATGATGAAACGCAGCCTTAAAACTGAGAACCCTCCCTCACCTTCCAGGTATTTTGTCCCCTCAGAGGCATACTGTAGGGCACCAGTACTATCTGCAAAACAGAGTAATAAGGAGCCTAAACAAGTAAAAGATGTAATGACGGCATATATTAGCCTTTCCCAGCAACTTTAAGACCCCATCCGCCTCCTTTGACTGTCCCCTGAAATGATAAAAATTTCTCTGGAAAGATGCATCACTCAGGAAGGAGAGAAAAAACGTTGCTTGGCAGGGCAGAAAACAAGACTGAAGCTAAACAGCTTTATGTCACGGTTGCAGATGATGTGAGAAGTGCCACCTGCGACCAACAGCAAGGACAACCAGGTCCTGTCCTGTAGTGAATTCCCAGATGCACACTGACTTCTCAAACATCACTGCCTCAGCATCACCACTAGCATGACACATCCAAGGGCAAGGATGCCACAAGGAGGTAAGGTACTGAATTTGGTGTCCACAAACTGCTTTTGGTGTAGAATACACACCTGTCTTCAATCACTGAGCACTACTTAGTAGGAAGCCCCTATTCAAAGTCATTGAACGAGGAATACCAAGACACTTGTGTGCTCTGAAGGTCTGGATCCCAGAACCGATGCAGCTTAGCTACGGGACAGATGCAACACTGGCAGCCAAGACAGCTGGTCCACAGATGTGGGAGAAGCAGAAGGTTGCATCTGCCAGCAACACCTGTTAGATCTGAGTACAGTCCTCTCACAGGGATGGGGTACGGGCCTAGCTCCCACCTTTCCTTTAGGATTTTCAAAAGGTGCAATGGGAGACACCCACAGAAACTTCAGGGCTGTGGAGCCCTAGCAGACTCAGTCATCACCCTGCACTTTTTGGGACAGATGGGGAAAA